TTCCCCCCCCCCCCCCTCTCTCTGCGCACCGTGGTATAGTCCAGATCAGGGCAGGAGTTCACTTCCAGCAGCCACACGTTGAACCCCTCGTCCACCTGCAAGCAACACAAAGCAACACACACACAACAACCGTCTGTCTCTCTTGTCCGTGCAGTGAGTGCGACGACTGCGCCTGTGCAACCGCCCGCTGACCATACCATAAAGTCGTAGCCGAAGATCTCGTGGCTGTTGCGCCTGTTCTCGATGGCCTGCTGCACGCACTGCAGTGAGGCGCGGACGATGCGGCGAATGGCTGGCTGCACAGATTCGCCCCAAACGTCACGCCCAAATGCGTCCTGACACACACCACACGGGGAGAGAGACGGCATATAGCATGTGTGTGTGTGTGTTGTCGGTGTGTGGAATGCACCAGTAGGTAGCTCTTGAACTCATCAGAGCTCCACATGTTGCCCTGAAGACACATGAGTGGATGGATGGATGGGTGGCTTTCCCTGTGTGTGTGTGCAGAAGGATACCTCACCTCGATCTCTGTGCTGTAGAACTGGGCGGAGTTCTTGGAGATCGAGTAGTTGGTCAGGTGCTTGAAACTGCAACGAGGCACAACACAGGACAACACATGATGTGGGTGGACATCGATCTGCGTCAGCTCCTGCCTGTGTCCGAAGGTACCGGCTTACCGGTTCTCGATAGAGAAAAGATCGAAGTCCTCGACGCTGAACCGCACGTAAGCGTCACGGTAGAACCACACTGCACACATGCCATCATATTCAACACACACACACACACACAGACACACACAGGCAGAGGACATTTGTGTGTGGGACGGACAAGGCGTGCGCACCGGTGAGAGGGTTCCAATCGGTGACGACGACCCACTGGCGGATGTCAAACTTCTTGCGCTTGATGATCAGCGGACGCTCGATGTACTTCTGGGTGATCCACTGACACATGACGCAACACCACACAACACAAGACAGCATATGCACCTCCCATGTGTGTGTGTGTGTGTGTGTGTGTGATGGTTCACCAGTGAGCCTTCCTTGCGCGTGGCAAAGTCGGCAATCGCATCTGGAAGGCGCCCGCCCATCCATCCATCCATCCATCCACTCACGGCCGCCCTGTCGCCTCTGTGGTGTGTGTGCCTGTGCGTGTGTGTGTGCGCGTGTGTGTCGTTCGTGTGTTGCTTACTGAGGTGTCTGTAGAGCTCCACCCCCCTGCCCCGCGACTTGGACGCAGGCTTGACGATCCACGTGTTGCTCACGCCGTTGAGGTACTTCTGACAAGCGTGACTCGACTCGAGCGCACGCAGCACCACACACGCCTACACACACACACGCCATCCACTTCTGCTGTAGGTCATCCCTCTCGCGCCGCACCTCTTTGGCGATTTGCAGCTCCTCGTCTCTTTCCGCCACCTCGGCGAGCGGCACTTTGCTGTCGGGAGGAGATAACGCACTCACGCCATTAGTAGTAGTCAGGGTGCTGCCGTGGCCGTGGTGGTCCCCCTGGTGTTGTGGGTGCCATTCGAAGAGCCAGTGGAGTGCGTGCGGGTCCTGCAGGGCCCAGTTGATGTCCCAGTAGGGCGACAGGTCCACCTGACGTGATGTGTCATGCCATGCAGGGTGAGGGTGAGCTGGGAGGTTGGGTGAGGGAGTTGGGGGATTCTCTCTCTCTCTCTCTCTTTTCACCTGTGAGATCTGTGCCCACTCATCGTCCGTTGCGACAGCCTCGTTCGAGTAGCCATCCTGACCAGACAAGACCAGAAACACACACACACACCGACTGTGGCTGGCAGGCTGGCATGGCTGTGCTGGCTGGCGGACCCACCTACCGGGCGATCGATGTCTTCGTCTGGGTTCTTGGCCGCCTCTCGCTGGCACACCCTCAGCGCACTCTTGACCACCTCCACAGGTATCTGTGCAGCCCATTCAAGCGCACACACAACGCCGTGCAGTGGTGCACCCCGGCGGACGGACCTTTTGCAGCTGCTGCAGCTTGAGCGAGACGGCCGTGTCATTTGGCGTGGGCGAGGGCGTGGGCGGGGTCTTTGTCGACGTCTCGCCATTGGTGGTGGTGGCGTCATCGCCGCCGCTGCTGGTGCTGGTGGCTCCCACGCCGTTGGGGGTCTCCTCCTGTCCATCTGCCGGCTGCTGCTGCTGTTCTTCTGCTTCTTCTTGTGACGATTGTGGTGAGGCCGCCCTGTGCAAGTGTGTGAAGTAGAGGCGGTAGAGGAACAGCTGCAGAATGGCGTGCGCTTGCAGCAGCTGCGGTGCAGGGAGGGAGGAGAATGCAAGGAGGTACGTATGGTTCGCTCACAGACGTGGATGGATTTAAGGGATCTCGCTGACCTTGAATTGCTGTGTGAAGGCCTCGACGTCGCTCGGGTCGTCCAAGTCGTAACACCTGTGTGGCCACACACACACACACACACACAGACACAGAGAGAGAGAGAGAGATGTGCAAGGGTGTGAAGGGGTGGACTGGCTGGGCTGGCTAACCCACCTTGGGAAGATGGCATCGATGTCGATGTCTTCCGCAAAGCGCAGATTGTTGCGCAGATTGTGCAGCAAACCAACCTGACACCCCAAATTCCTTGGGGGTGTGTGTGTGTGTGTGTGTGTGTGCATGAGCGCATCCTTCCCTCTGTGTGACCTTTGTGGTGAGCTCTGCGCTTCTGAGGAAGTGGTTGACCTTCTGGTGCTCCAACAGGGTCAGCCGCTCGCTCGGCCAACCTGCACCCACACATCACTCACACACGCACACACGTCATTCGCCGATTCCGCGCCCAGACGGACCCACATACTTACCTTGTTTCGGGTAGACAAGCTGCCTGGGCGACCTCGGCGACCTGGGCGAGTTGGCCCTCGGCTGGTGTATGTTGAGGACGTCGCGGCCGGACGCAATCCACCGGAGGTCGAAGAAGGCGCTGCTCTTGTCGGGGTTCTCCACCCACCCTGGCAACACACACACACACACAGCAGAGATGGAGTAATGGCGCGTGTGCCATGTGGCTGAGTGGGGGGGAAGGGGGGGTGGGGGGTGGAGGGGGCGACCTCTTTCTACGAGTGCCTCTCGAATGGCGGGGAAACTGCCGCTGATGATGAACACCTTTTGGTCCGGCTCCACGCCCTTGAGCGACTTCCACTGGGCGAAATCGCTCCACCAATCTGCACACACACAGACACGACCAAACACGTGGACACTTCACGGGCACCCTCCCTCCCTTGTTGTGTACCCGACACGAATGCGGTCGACAGGTGCCTGCTCATGCAGGGCGGAGGCGTGGCGCTCCGCAACGGACTCACACCGTCTGCAAACACACACACACACACACATACACGGATGGTTCCTACCCGACCGCATGCACCCTTCCGTCCGGTTCTCACCAGCCAACGATCGCCTGGCGCTCATGGCACCGTTGCTGCCCGTCCTGAGGGCACTCCGGGGCGACGGCGATGGCGATGGCGACCCCGTTCCGACCGGTAGCCGAGGCAGCACGCTGCCGCGCTGGTGGTCGTAGGGGCTGGCCTCCCTGCCATTGGCCCTCTGCCTCTCCCGCCGTGGGTTGACCAGCGGGGGAGGGCGTCTTCTCGGCCCGGGCGTCGCGCTGCAGCTGCGCTCCAGCCTGCATGACCAACCAACCAACCAACCAGCCACACGAAAAAACCACATGCACAAGCACATGCAGATGCATGTGAAGGGCGAGGCGGGTGGGGCTCCTGAAGTAGTCTGACCTGTTGGCGGGCGCCTCCTCAGGGTCATCCCAGAAGGACGGCAGCACCGCGTTGGACCCGCGAAGCCGCTGCTTGTCCCTCAGCGCCTTGAGCATCTCGATGTTACGCTGGTGCTGCTGCTGGTCGTCCTCCTCTGCAGCCGCGGGCTGGCCGCCCAGGGAGGCCAGAGGCAGCCGAGGGATCAGCACGTTGGACCCGTTCGCGGCCATCCTGCAGGCCGTGAGCGTGCCGAACTTAAGAATCGATTTCTTTTCTTTGTCTGGAAGCAGGAGCTGCTGAAACGCTGAGGGGAAGGGGAGGGGGAGGGAGGGGAGAGTTTGTTGGGGGCACTTCTAAGCTCGCAAAGATTGCGAGCTGCCGGTAGGAAATCCAGCCGGCCGTGATGGGAAGGATGTGACGGCTTCCAAGTGGCTATGAGCTGGAAGGAAGGTCATAGCCACTTGGAAGCCGTGACCTCGGCTACGCAGCCCCCGGGCGCGGCTCGCGGACGGCTGTCAGTCTAGGCTGTCAGCGTGCGGCTACGCCGCATTCGTCGACTAGATCATCTCTTAGATCCAAGACGGCCATGGCAGAGGTGCACCAGCAGCCTCCCCAGCCGGAGCCGCCGGTCATCGACCTCTGTGGTGACGATGATGAGCAACCAAACCCGCCGGTCCCTCTCCCCAGTGCGGCACCCGTCGTGCCAGCCGCTCACCCTCCTGCTGTCCCCCCCGTCCCACCCCCTCCAGCACATCAGCAGGATGTCGGTGACCTGGCCATCGTTGCTGTCGTTCCAGTTCCGTGGCAGCAGGCACCACCACCACAGGAACCTCAGCAGCCGGCACCACAGGCGCCACCACAGGCGCCACCACAGGCACCAGCACCAGCGGCTCCTCCCCAGCAGGGAGGAGGTGGCCCGCCGGTTGTCGTTGACCTGAGACATTCGCCGACGCATCGGCCGTTTGTGATGCCTCAGCTGCCGCGGTCCCCCATAGACCTGACGGAGGGAGAGGAAGGAGAGGCAGGACAGGGCGGCAACGGCCAGGCTCCCGCTCCTCCTCCAGCAGCGGCAGCAGCTGCAGCTGCTGCCGCTGGTGGTGGCGACGGACCCAGGCCGGTTGCCGTTCGTGTCGCTGGGGTCCGTCGAGGGCGCGAGGAGAGGGAGGGGCAGGGAGGGCCAGCAGCTGCGGCAGCTGCAGCAGCTGCTGAGGTGCCACGCGCACCTATGCCACCGATGGGTGCCATGGGTTCGCTTCCTCCCCTGATCAACCTAGAGGTCAGCGACACAACCACACACACAGAGAGAGCACAGCCCCTACCCCGATTCGAATCAATCGTGTGCTGTGCTCCTTCAGGACGACGATGAGGACCTTCCGCCGCCCCCCAAGATGCCTCGCATGGAGCAGCCTGCAGCAGCAGCAGCTGCAGCAGCGGCAGCGGCAGCCCCGGCGGTGCCTCCTGCGCCCCCCGTCGACCCTTTGGCGGCCCTTTTCGCCCAGGCGGAGTGCCCCATCTGCATGGAGCCCCTCCGGCGGCGCAGAGACCCCCACCGGGAGGCCAGGCAGAAGGAGATCGAGATGGAGGGCAAGAACGACGCCAATGAGGAGGAAGACAAAGACAAGGACAAGGAGGCGGCGGGCGAGGCGAGTGAGCCCGCCCCTGCCGCAGCTGCAGCGGCGGCTGCTGCTGCTGTTCCTGGTGGTGGTCGTGGGAGGGGGGCCAAGAGAGCGGGGGGCGCTAGAGGGAAGGCGAAAGGCCGGGGGCGGGGCAAGTTGGCGGGTGCCGCTGCTGTGGCGGCGATTAAGAAGGAAATCGAGGAGACCGAGGAGGTGCGCTTGAAAAGCACAGCCCTCCCAGGAGGGGGATGCCAGTGTGTCTGATTTCTCTTCTCTGTCTGCCGTGTGGTGTGTGCAGAAGTCTGGCCGCCTCGCATCCACCACGTGCGGCCACGTCTTCTGCGAGGTGAGACTGACCCGACCACTGTCAGTCAGTCAGTCAGTCACCATCCTGAATAGGTACCCTTCTGTCTGTGTGCGTGTGTGTATGTCTGTCTGTCTGTGTCTGTGTGTGTGTGTCGATTAGGAGTGCATCCAGCGGCAGATCAAGGAGAACCGCATGTGTCCTGTGTGCCGCAAAAAACTGGCCCTCAAGGACATGCACCCGCTCTTCCTCTGAGCGACTCAAGCAAGGCACCCAGGCAGGCACGGTCGCAGCACGGCACACACGTGCATGCGTCAGAGTGCGGCCACCCTAGCAGCAGTAGCAGCGGGCTTTTTGGTGCAGTGGTTGGTGGGCAGGCCTGCTTTGGCTTGGTTAAACGGTTTGGCAGGTGGTGCATGTGTGTGCGCCGGCAGATAGCTGCTAGGCACGATGGTGTAGTTGTGTACCGACTTGATTAACTCGTGTGGGTGCAGGGGTGCGTCTCCTTGCGTCTGCACGGTGGGTGGGTAGCTGTGTGTCTGCTGCGTAAATGTGCACGTCTGAGTGTCTAACTGACTAAGTGAGTGGGAGATGCACCGCCCCCACCCCACCCGTGGCAGAGAGGTTGCTCCATCTTCCATCGATGGGCGTTTTTGGACAGGTGGATGGATTGGTTGATGGACGGTTGGTTGGTTTGTGTGCCATGCATGTCTTTCATGTGTGTCGTGCACCAAGTGGGGAAATTTAAACCATTCATTCACCATCCATTTGAACAATCTGCTTGTTTCCGCGTCAATCAAGATGGATGTCTCCTTTAGGCATCATGTCATGTCATGCACACACCCCACCAGCCACATGGGGAGACCAAGTGAGTGGCCCACACCAACAGGGAAACGCGCGTCACTCATTCAGTCAGTCAGTCTGCTCATTCACCCACTCACGCCCACCAGCCCACCACACACCTACCCCCACATAACCACCCACCCCACCTTCTCTCTGCCCGCAGCTCCGAGCCGCCTGACTGACCAATCCGCGCACTCAGGGGTAGAAGGGCCCGGGCGGTCTCGCTCCTGGCTGCTGATAGGGGGCCATGTGTCGCGGCGGGGGCGGCATGTGCACCGGGGGATAGACATTCTGAGGGTTGTAGGGCTCGTCATACTCGAACGGCTGGTTGCCCTGGCCCATGGTGCTGCTCATGACGGGCGGTGGGCGGGGGGGGGTGAGGAGCGGGGGTCGGTGGGAGAAGGGGGAGGGGCCGGGAGGGTACATGGGGGGCGGAAACATCGGCCGATGCGGCGCGGGCTGCAGCCGGAGTCGGGGCTGCTGGTATTGCTGCTGCTGGGGGTTGCTGTTGTTCAGGTGCTGTGGGTTGCTGGTGCGGTGCTCCACCTGTGTCTTGACCTGCTTCATGTGCTGCATGATGATCGACATCAGGACGCTCGGCTGCTGCCGCATCACCGACGCCGACGGGCCAATCGCCGGCGGCTTGACCTTCATGCCCTCCTCGAACGGCACCAAGTAGCTGCGGCCGTCCGTCACGCTCCACACCTTCTTGTCGGTCTCCTTGAGCTTCAGCCCCAGCGGCTCCAGGGTCTTCTGGATGACGTTGAGCGTCTCCACCGTCCGGAACCCTCCCGAGTTGAGGACGATGTCGCCCTTCCCCTTGCTGACCTTGACCACCTCGGTGTCGTAGAGCTTGACGATCAGGTCACCCTCCACGTTGTAGAAGCACTCGCTGTGCATGACGCCCCGGTCCTCGTGAGACTTCTTGCCAGGCCGCTGCGGCGCTCTGCCGCCTCCCGCGTATGGCCCGCTCTGCGCCGAGTAGCGGCTTCTCTGGGAGCGGAGCGGGCGGCCGCTGCCATCTCGGTGTGGGCGAGAGGGGAAGAGGGAGCGTGGCGGGCCGTTGGACTGGTCCATGGCATGGTGTGCGTCGGTCGGTCCGCCTCCCTCGTCCTTGATGATGTCGTCCAGAGACTTGTCAAGCTTCTCGCTTCCCATGGCGATGACGGCAACGAGATGAACCAGGAACCAACAGACAGGAGAATCGGTCCACGCCTCGGAGCAAGCCAAGAAGCTCGCAAAAGTTGAAGTTTCGCTTCTCTCGTTCGTCGGCTCGGCTGCATAATGAGTGGGGTGCAGCCCTCCGAGTCGCGTGCGTCGCACGCCGGCTCCCAGCGCGGCGACCCCGACAAGACCACATGGCCGACAGGTGGGTGAGGTGATGGAGGGAAGCATGGGGCGGGCCACTGACACATGCACCCGCCGCACACCGATGCCATCCTTCGATGCACAGCCCAATCTGCGAGATGGCCTCCCTCTCTGTTGTCTGATGTGTGTTGTGCTTGGCAGGTCCGGTGGGCGACTTCCCCGGGACGACGACCGAGTTGATTGTGGACCGTCTGGCGGAGAGCAAGCAGTCTTTGAAGGAGATATTGGAGAAGGCGAGCATAGAGGACCCAGAGGCATTCAAGCGCGCCGTCGAGGAGGCCGAGCAGCAGCAGCCCACCTCGGGCAAGAACAAGTGGAGCTCCACAGCCATGATGCTGCTCACCAAGGAGCTCGACAGCGACCTCGTCAACGGGCTGACGTCCGAGCAGGTGCTCAAGAAGCGGGAGGAGTTCGGGATGAATGTGTTGGAGAAGGAGCACAAGGAGCCCATCTGGAAGATCTTCCTCTTACAGGTACTTAAGCACGCAGACATCAGCGTGCGTGGGTGTCATTGCATCCTGTGTGTCATTGTCATGTGGGCTGTGTCAGTATACGTCGCCTGTGGTGCTGTTGCTGCTGGCGGCGGCCGTCGTGTCGCTGGGCTTCCAAGAGTGGGTCGAGGGCATCGCCATCCTCATCATCGTCACGCTCAACGCGTCGCTCGCCACCTACATGGAAAAATCCGCAGGTCAGCCCTGAAGCCATAATGAGATGAAAAACACAACAGACAGCCACAACCAAACCACTCCGTACGTGTGCGTGTGTGTGTGTAGGTGACGCATTGGCCAAGCTGGCGGCCATGGCGGCGCCTCGGTGCAAGGTCATCCGTGACGGCAAGAAGACCGACATCGACGCCAAGGAATGCGTTCCGGGCGACATCGTGCTCATCGGCACGGGCGACCAGGTCACACGCACACACACACACACACACAGACAGACAGAGACAGAGAGAGAGAGAGAGTGCCACGTGGTGTGTTAGGGGTGAGTGATACCGTTGCTGCTTTTGTTGTGCTTTCTTTCTGTGTGTGTGTGTGTCAGGTGCCGGCCGACATGCGGTTGTTTGAGGCGTCGGAGATCCTCGCAAACGAAGCACTGCTCACCGGTCAGTCAGCTTGAGCATGGGCATCAAAAATGAGAAGGAAGCCTCAATGTCTGTACGTGTGTGTGTGTGTACGTGTGTGTGTGTGCAGGTGAGTCTGAGGAGGTGCGCAAGACACTGACAGTGGACGACCCCGACGAGCCATTCGCCAAGAACATGTGTTTCGCCTCGACCAGCGTGACCAACGGCAACGGCAAAGGCATTGTCTGCACCACAGGCATGCAGACACAAGTCGGAATCATCGCACAACACCTCAAGGCGGTACGCAATCGCACACACACTCACACACACACACACACAGGCCTGACGCCTGACGTGAGAGCCACAAAACGGAGGGAACACATTTGCTTTGGCCGTCCGTCCCTCATTGCGTGCAGGAGAGTGGTTCCAAGCTGACGCCCCTGCAGCAGGCCCTCAACAAGCTGGGAGGGATCATCGGCGTCATGTCCATCTGCGTGCTCAGTGAGTGCGCAAACCTGTCCACGCACTCAGTAGGACACCGTGCGTACCACCTGGAGAGTGTGTGTGTGTGTGTGCAGTCGTGGTGGTGCTTGTGGCTGTCTTCACCAACTACAGGGACCCCGCACATCCCTCACAGAACTGGATTCTCGGGGTCAGTCAGCAACACACACACACCTGCTCTCCCTCCCTCCCTCCCTCCCACAAAGACACCCACAGATGGCCACATGCGAGTTGGGTGTGTGGTCAGATTGTGCTGGTGGCTGTCGGTTTCGCTGTGTCGTCCATCCCCGAGGGCCTGCCGATGGTGGTGACCATCTGCCTGTCGCTCGGCTGCAGGGATATGGTGCAGAGGAAGGCGCAGGTCCGCAAGCTGCCCGCCGTCGAGACGCTTGGCTCCTGCTCCGTCATTTGCTCAGACAAGGTGAGTCCGATCGGCCGATGCACGCAATCGATCCATCCATCCATCCATTCATCCATCCATCCGTGTGTGTGTGTGTGTGTGTTCTGTGACCACAGACGGGTACATTGACAGAGGGCAAGATGACGGCGACCACGTTGGTGACGACCAGCAGGTGCAGCGAGGGCCCCGTGCAGCAGTTCAGCTTCTACCCCACCAAGGGGTTCGACCCCAACGGCGGCTGCTTCAGACAGACAGACCTCACAAAGGAGGCAACGGTCAGTCAGACAGACAGCGATCGACAGACGGCCCTTGCGTGGGTGTGCCACGTGTTGTGTTGTGTTGTGTGTCTGCGCGTGCAGGATGGCATTGTGGAGTGTTACGACATGGGCAAGTTCCAGGAGTACGATGGCGTCGTCACCGACTATGGAAACCCCTACAACAAAGACCTCTACGCACAGGTCAGGCCCCTTTCCCCACTCGCCACCACACCACTCACGCCCATGTTTCGTGTGTGTGTGTGTGTGTGTGTGCTGCAGAAGGTGCGCACGACGCTGATGGCTGGCTTCCTTAACTCTCACGACACCGAGCTCGTCAAGGACAGCAGCGGCAAATGGTTCACCACTGGAAACATGAGCGAAGGTATGTGCACATCACGCTCACGCAGAGAAAGAGCGAGGGAGAGAGACATCAGATCTATCCACCCACGGATGTGTCTCTTTGCGTGTCTGACTCTCTCTCTCTCTCTCTGTGTGTGTGTGTGTGTGTGCAGGTGCGATTGTGGTTGCGGCGGCCAAGGGGCGAATCGGTCCGGCGGTCAACGAGGAGAATCCCCACGACAAGTACCCGCGCGACAAGGACCTCGAGGTGCCCTTCAACAGCTCACGCAAGATGATGGCCACCATCCACAAACTTCCCAAGCCCGGTAAGTAATCGAGCGGGCCTGTAATGCCGACCATCCATCCATCCATCCATATGTGTGTGTGCAGGTGAGTTTGAGGGCATGAAGCTCTCGGAGAGCGGCAGCTTCACCCACGTGTGCATCCTCAAGGGCGCGCCCGACCGGGTGTTGAAGCACGTCAAGTACATGCCGATGGAAGACACGGCCAACAACTACAACACCATCGACTGGAAGAGGTCCATCGAGCCCGACGAGCTGCAGGCCGTCATGAGGATCAACCAGGAGCTCTCAAAGGTCGGTACCC